AGATGGGAGCAGCAGTGGGCTGCAACCCGTACAACAGCCAAATTCCGCCCTTAAAACATAGGTAAATTCCCAAAATATTGTTTTTTATTTATTTACCAGCAATATGGTAGTTTTAAATTAATTGACACAAATATTGTGTTTTTGTGGGGGAGGGAGAGCGAATTCGCATCAGACTGATGTGGACCCGCTAGATATGTATTTTCACGTAAAACAGCACGCCAGCGTGGGATTGGCGCGATGCCGCTTTGCTCTCTTTTAAAGTGCGCTGACAGATTCCCTTACCTTTGACCAGCTGACCCGCATTAGTCTCATGCGGATTCACAGACCTTTTTACCCCACTCCAGCATATATATCATCCTCCATTCTCTTCCTTTCAGTATACTCACTACACCAAAAATTGATATGAAAACGAGATGGAGGAGCTCTGCTGGTTGCTGCAAAGATGGCTAGGTAAGAGACACATTTATTTTTGTAATTATATTATTAAAATGCTATTATAATTGTATTTATTTAGTAATTAGTGAATTTGTTTGTTATGTAGTGATTTTAGGAGATTTGAACTAATTGTTTGGTGGAAATCGGAGAAAGTAGAGGACAATTTGGGCGTCTATTTCGCTGGTGGTAGAAGGTTTCAGGTTACAGTTCAATGTTGAGTGACATATCATCAATTTTGTGAGAAGCTAATCCTGAGAATACGACGACCGACGTAGAGAGGAAGCAGTAAAAGATAGTGATATGATCACAGGTTTCACTTACCGTCTTCCAGAATGGCAGAATGGTGTTCTATTTCATTATGCGATGCCTATTGTGGATGATGAATGTTTGAATGTGCTTTTCAATCTGGAAGGTTTGAAGTATAAGGATGACAATTGTCCTTGGATGGTGCAGTTTGGATGTCGAGACGTTGGAAGCGAATGGACTGTGAGAAATGCCGAGTTGGTGCATTCTTATAGCAGTACGACTCAATCGACAGATCATCGCCATCTTGATATCAACGTTATATCTGAGTCCGTGAAACATTTGGTACGTGCCCAACCAAATCTGAGTGTTCTAACTATGCAAGCCGAGTTGAAAGATAAATTTAATATGCAAGTTACTGATAAGAAGGCTTGGTATGGGAAACAAAGAGCATTGGAGAAGTTGCATGGAAATTGGGAAGAATCTTACAATTAGTTGCAAACATTCTTGGGGGTTGTCAAGAGAAAAGTGCCAACATCAGTGATTGCTTGGGTAAAAGTTCCTTCATCGCAACTATGTCATTTGATCTTCCAGCGAGTATTCTGGGCTTATGGACCTTGTATAGATGGATTCAAGAATTTTCCAGGACTTATGGTTGTTGATGGAACATGTCTTATTGGAAAGTATAAAGGAGTGCTACTCATGGCGAGCTCATTTGATGGTCGGAAGAAGATTTTTCCAATTTCATTTGCCATAGTGGAGAGCGAGAATACTGATAGTTGGCCATGGTTCATAAGACACGTTCAAGATTTGACCGATCGAAATGATGTCTGCATCATCTAATATATCAAATATTCCACACAACTATGAATTTCAATCAACTAAAATTTTATTTTGAAACAATAAATAAATAACCATTGCGTTAACTCCTGCTACTCTTCGTGTGACTGCACATCTATTTACATCTCGATACCACTCGAGATGCTCCGAGTGATAGAATAGAGTATCCTGAGTATATGGTATAGTCGCTATATACTGATGTCGACGAATCCATAAATCAATCGACTCTCTGGAGGCGTGTATCAATTGTTGCCCTCGCGATGGCCCACGAATTGTCTGGCGAAGGAAATACCTAATCTCAGCCTCAAGAGCTGGATGATGAGGCTCATTCTGCATCATGCCAAACTATCGGAGTACGCGATCTGGATGGTGCCACATCACTACTGAAAAGAATATCAGTGGAACCAATGCTCGAAAGGTATCTGACTGGATCACAAAACCACTGAATTGCTCGCCTCTCTCACAGTAAGACAGCCACTACACACAACAAGTGGTCACATTATTACTCATTAATCTAAAACAAACTAATGATAACTATGAACTATTCTTGTATGAAATGTTATCACTAACCACGATTGTTGACAGCTCGTCAAAAACAACTTATAACTGAAGAACTGGTCACCATGCTGACGGGACATGGCCGGAAGCCATCGAGCACCACGTGGATATGCATCCTCTGTAATAGGCTCATCTGTCACTGTATGTCGTGGTGCTATCAATGGAAATCGCTCCCACTCCTAGAGCTGCAATAAGGCGACCCAGCCACGAAGGTCACCTCTTGTGGAAGAGGCATGTGTCATCTGCAGAGCCGACCTACCCATCTCACGGTATAGGTAGGCTAGAGCAGTTGCTCCCCAATCGTAGCCTCCAGCGCTCCCCCAATTCTCCAACAGGAGTAGATACTGTAGATCTAGTCTGATCGGGGAACAACATACCCCCCATCAGAGATAGGGCATAAGCTCGTGCAAAATTCCCTGTAATCTATGATGATGGATTTGGCGACAGATTGTTGAAATTCTCCTTAAGCCAACTCATCCTAATGACACCGCCGGAAAGATCGGTAGGAGCATGTCCTAACATTTTGATACACGTCGCCGACCACTCCTGATCTGGTACGTCTACTATAATGGCCTCACCGTCGATCGGTAGACCGCTCAGTGTGGCAACGTCCTCCAGAGTGATCATAACCTCACCAAGCGGCATGTGGAAGGTCGATGTCTCAGGACGCCAATGCTCTACGAGAGCAGTGATCAAAGATGCATCAATAGCAGCAGTCATCGGGACCAACTATTGAACGCTAAACAAACCGGCATCTTGGAGATACGGCTCATAACGTGGATGGTACGTGACCAAATTGGTCGTACCTCGAATCTAGTAAATGCATTCACCAACCTATAGTGCACAAAACTTATATTAATTCAATTTCATGCGTAATTCTATTTTTAGTTCACCTAGTAAAATCTATCTAATCTAGTAAAATATATCTAATCAAAACTAATACTAATTTCAAAAAAATTCACATGCAATTCTAATATTTCAGTTCACCTAGTAAAAATCTAATCTAACTAGCTAATGAATTTTAATGAAATACTTATCTCGTTTTGCCAAACTGAGTCGGCACGATGTTGACCATGTGCCCAAATAAGTACTGAATCTACCGGAGTTGTATCAATCGTCATAGGCGGTCGCCTCGTGGAATAAGTGTCCAAAAGCCAAGGAACTGCAAAAAAAACAAAAAAGAAACAGAAAAAAACGCCGGCGGCGAGATTCCGGTTGCCGCCAGCGTGCTTCAGACCAGTGAGATCGCTCACCTCGGTACCGGCCGCGTGCCTGCCGTCCTCTTCCACGGCCTCTTCCTTCAGCCCTTCTACGTGGGATTGAAGAGCTTCCGCTTCGGATGGCGCGATTCCGCGGGAGAGATCAGCGGACCCGCTTGAGAGTGGCGCGTGTGTTGGTGGTCGGCGCGGCGACGTAGGCTGGGCTGGTTTGCGTCGCTGCGGGAGGCTGGGGGAGAAGATAGAGAAATAAGAAACCCTAATCAGCGTTTCTGCACTAGACTGGCGCGGGTTTCTTTATCCATGCGTACCTGCATTAGTCTGGTGCGGGTCCGCGTTCTGTAACAGCTATTATTAAGTCTCACGCGAACCGACATTGTTCCCCCAAAAATACAATATTTGTGTCAATAAATTTAAAACCACAATATTGGTGGTAAATTAATAAAAACAATATTTTGGGAAATTATCCTAAAACATATATGACACTCATATAAAAATGATACAATTGACAGACTTGGAAAGACTTGGTTTGTTTAGGGTTTCATCGTTTTATGTAGCATTCCTCGAGATACGTATTAAAATCGATGGAAATGGTCGAACCCATAGTCATAATGTTAGGAAATTACTTTCTATCTCATGTGGCTTGCAAGGTTTACATTAGCTATTGGTTAAGTGGGTTAATAGTAAATGGTCATATTATGGAGGTCAAGAGTACTCGCAATCAATATGATGCATTGTCGATGCAAGCATCGTGTACGTCGAGAATCAACCTAGACCTTTAGAGGGATTGAGATAGAGAATTGATAGGATAGGGACATTGTTTTCTTAATTCTTTTTCATTGATTGACTGCTTATACGAATGGAACAATAAGTACAGACATAACCCTAAACTAGTCATAATCGCTCCCAAACATGCGGCCACGGCTTGGCCCTTAATCCACGACACCAACTCATAATCCAACTAATTTACTTACCCATCACACTACTTCCCAAACAATAGTAACTTACCACAATTATACTAATAATCACAACCTCTAACCCTCCCAAACACATAACTATTAATGATAATAATTTCATACGCATCACAATACGAGCAAAAATGGATGGAAAGCACGTATATGTACATATAAAATATTATGGGAGCACTAGATGAGACTAGTGTATAAGAAACCATTTCGAGTTTGTGGTCCCAACACATCAAGACCAATATGCACTCCCTTCTTCTCATAAGAAGACCATATATAATTACGTAAAAGTAACTGAAGATGCTCGATTGAGAAAGGTCACTGTCTCACTGATGCATTATCAATCTTGGCCGCCAATATTATTATTATTAGTTAGTTGGTTTTAGGAATTGTATCAATTATTAAAGTGTTTAAGTTAGTTTCTTTAGGGTTAAATTATCGAGTCCTTGTACGATTAGTAAGTCATTAGGTTTTCTAGTTTTCCTATAAATATGTACTTAGTTTCTACGTTTAAGGAAGGAATGAATAAACAATAAAACCCCAAACAATCTCTTTCCTCTAGTTTCTCAATCTCAATCCCTCGATATCTATGATGCTTGCACTGGCAACGCATCAATTGGTATCAGGGCCTGGTTCCGGCAAACCGAGCTCGCTATTGCAGCTCCCAAGGCAGACATCGCCAACGTTCGACCACCAACGTAGAGAAGAGGTCCCACGAGCAACAACAACCGAAGACAAGACGATGACAACGAGGCTTGAGGAGCTAACTGATCCGCCCGATGGAAAGGTTTTAATTCATGCCATGACCGGTGGTTCGAATGCGGCCACCTTCCACCTCATCACGACCATCAAGGAAGAGACGGCTATGCATCGAATCGATGGTTATTCCTCTCACAACTTTATGAACGGTAAGGCCACGAGAAAGTTGTCGTTATCAGCTACTCCTATTTCACCTTTTCGAGTCAAGACGGCTAATGGGGAGTCTCTCATATGTACCCGATGCTACGCGTCAGTACCGGTCGAAGCACAAGAAATGCGGTGGAAGGTCGATTTCTTCGAGCTTCCAATTCAAGGGATCGCCCGCGACACTCGGTGGAATAGACAAGTAATTTTTTATTGGGAGCTCTCGAGCATGTGCATCTGGTACCAAGAGGAGTGGGTAGGGTTGCAAGTGATTATGGGGAGAATGAAACCGATGATCACATCGCCAAGGTCTGGCCCAAAGAGCCAGCGACCAAAGGCATCGCCGAAGCTCCATTTTCGTCTACTATGACAGTCGTCGCTCCTACAATCTCGACACACAACATCATTGAGGTTAAGAAAACCCCGACTCGATGAGTGGACAAGCCGCAAAAGGATACTGAGCTCATCGTGATGGATGGAGGGGTGGCCCTATCCTGCCGTAAGCTGGAGGGATTGCCCGACCAACCATTGGGGGGACATGGCGTTGCTGCTACAACGCCTACCCTTAGTGATCCTATGTTGCCTTCGAATCAACTGGAAGCCTCCACTGCTAAGAAGCTTCTGGCTGTCGAGCCATCACCGTTGTTGTTGGAGCTGAAGGAAGTCCAGCTTGCCTCTGTCATCGTTGTTGCCACTACAGTTGCTGATGCGAATCCGATTAAGCTCCTGATTCAGTACAATTGGAAATTTCGGAAGAATAGATGACAGGTTACTATTCAACCTAAACCTACGTTGTCGTCGTTGAAAGCTGAGCGAAGATGGTAGACAAATAGAAGTCAATGATGGCATCCATTACCGGAGGTGGCGTTGATCGTGGAGGAGTTGTGGATCGTCTGTATTTGTGGAAGTTCAGACGTAAGAAAAGGGAACATAAGTTTCGGCGAGCCTTGATGCGGGATGGAATTGTCAAGAAGATAAAGGTTTCCGCGATGGTCGGGGATCGACGCAAGGGGATAAGGGTTCGGATCGAGCTTACTCGAGCAAGACAAGGAGCACCGAAGCTGGGCTAATTCCATCGGTGTTGGCGGCAAAGCCATCGAGACAGCATGCCCCAGAAGTCAAAATCAATGGCTCGAGAACCAAAGTTAGCACAACTATGAGACTCCGACGAGGCGTGGTGGTGAGGTTCGTAGCCGATCGAGACAGTTTGGCATGGATTGGGAGTGCTCCGATTTGTTTTGGGGATGACTTAGTTGTCGGCCACTTTGTGCAATGGCAGGAAAGTCCCCCTATGGTGATCGCCGAATGTGAATTGCAGGTAGTCGAGCTGTTGTGTTGGCTACCTTGCCATTGTCTATTCCCAATGATTTATGTGAAGGCTAGGGATGGAGTGCTTCAAATCACTTGAGGTATCAACCTGCCGCAACCAAAGATGGGGCATGTGAGGGTGATGGGTTTTACGATAGTACCCAGTGGATTATATGGTTGGGGGTAAGTGTGATCAACAAGGGGTATGGGCCATCCGCAATATACAATGGAGGCAATTCCATTGAAGAAATACATTTACGATGGTTCCTTGTATGCTTCGACCCCGGTGGAGAAGAAGGTAAAACGACCAAGGAGTGTGGGAGTCAGCGGCGGATCCAAGGGGGGCCAACCTGGGTCCGGGCCTAGCCCTCTTTGGCTCCACAGCTTGTTCAGAGCCCTCCTCCACCTCCTTTTGCCCATTAATAATCGGTCTGGCCCTGCCCTCTTTTGTGGTGGTTTCTATTTATTTATTGAAAAAATTTGATTTGGGTAAAGTGTTTTCGCTAGTGGGCCGTTGAAACAAAAGGGAAGTTGAATTGTCCTAATCATTTACGTCAGATAAAAAGTAAGAAAGGGTGGGCTTTAGTTGTGTCTGTTAATTCTTGATTAAAAGCCCACTCATTTCTACTTACATTTGAAACAAACAAATCAAATTATCAAACTGCTCTTTAGTTCATCTAGTTCTCAGTTCTCACCAGTTTTTCATCTGTAGCATTCTAGAGTTCGAAGGAAAAGATCAATCGAAGCTACGAAGGTCAAGTTGAAATGAAGCATCACAAAAAATGATGCTCTCCTAGAATTAGAATAAGAAAGTTAATTAGAAACTTGAATGTATATAATTGTTGTGTTGTTTGATTATGTAGATTTGAATATACTTTATAATGACATATTCTTAAGCACCAAATAAAAAGGTAAAAATAATATTATTTTCTTACTATCCGTTGTTTCGTCTAGTGTTGATGTTGCTCATTTCAACGGCTACTACGGAGATAACCTTTTTAGCAATGGAATATTGAAAACTGATTTGCGCAACAAAATGTGCGATGAATTTCTCGCTGATTGCTTAACTATTTCTTTGAGAAAGTATGTTATTGGTATGGATGAAGACTACATTGTTTATGAATTTGATAAACTAAAAGACTGTCGTGTACAATTGACATTATAATGAAAATAATAGTTATTATTATTATATATTTTTTAAAAATATATAAGATATCTAATTTTCTATACAAATGCGGCCCAGTACTCTTCTAAATCCTGGATCCGCCGCTGGTGGGAGTCTGGGCTATGCTCGGAGTCATGGTAATAATGCAGAGGTTGATGATGGAATGTTGGTGTCCAATAATCGAGCCATTACTGGTAATGCGCAGTTGCGATTATCAGTGATGTTTAGCAACTTCCATTACTTATTATCCATGGTTCCCTGGAGAAAAAAGAAGAAATGCAAAATGAAGGCATTGGGGTTAAGTTATCGAGTCCTTGTAGGATTAGTAAGTCATTAGGTTATCTGATTTTCCTATAAATATGTACTTGGTTTCTACGTTTAAGGAAGGATTGAATAAACAAGAAAACCCCAACCAATGTCCCTTTCCTCTAGTTTCTCAATCTCAATCCCTCGATATCTATGATGCTTAACCAGCAACGCATCAATTGGTATCAGAGCCTGGTTTCGACGAACCGAGCTCGCTGTTGCAGCTCCCAGGGAAGACATCGCAAACGTTCGACCACCAACGTTGGGAAGAGGTCCTGCGAGCAACAACAACTGACGACAAGACGATGACAATGAGGCTTGAGGAGCTAACCGATCCGCCCGATGGAAAGGTTTCACTCCATGCCATGACCGGTAGTTCGAATACGGCCACCGTCCATCTCATCACGATCATCCAGGAAGAGACGACTATGGTTCGAATCGACGGCTATCCCTCTCACAACTTTATGAACGGTAAGGCCGCGAGAAAGTTGTCATTATCAGCTACTCCTATTTCACCTTTTCGAGACAAGACGGCTAATGGGGAGTCTCTCATATGTACTCGATGCTACGCGTCAGTACCGGTCAAAGCACAAGGAATGTGGTGGAAGGTTGATTTCTTCGAGCTTCCAATTCAAGGGATCGCCCTCGACACTCGGTGGAATAGACATGTAATTTTTTATTGGGAGCTCTCGAGCATGCGCATCTGGTACCAAGAGGAGTGGGTAGGTTGCAAGTGATTATGGGGAGAATGAAAATCGATGATCACATCGCCAAGGTCTGGGCCAAAGAGTCAGCGACCAAAGGCATCGCCGAAGCTCCATTTTCATCTACTATGACATTTGTCGCTCCTACAATCTCGGCACGCAACAGCATTGAGGTTAAGACAGCCCCGACTCGATGAGAGGACAACCCGCAGAAGGAGATCGAGCTCATTGTGATTGATGGAGGGGCGGCCCTATCCTGCCGCAAGCTAGAGGGATTTCCCGACCCACCATTGGGGGGGGGGGTGCATGGCGTTGCTACTACAACGCCTACCCTTAGTGATGTTGCTGCCACCCGCCTTAAAGTGGGGAGAGTTTGAGAGCAGGTGGAGGGGAAAGGGTTTGGGGAAGGCGAACGGTTTATTGCGGGGAAGGTGGCTATTTGGTCGTCGATCATCTTTTCCCCCGCTAAACTGGATCTCACGTCCATAATAAGTGGAGTGTGTGAAATTATCAAGTGTGACAGCTCTTTTTTTCTGATGAGTATGGACCGTAAGATCACGAGGAAGGAGGAAGGACGACTGTAAAGAGGGAAGCGAAACTCACAACCCCTTTAGGGGTTGTGACTCTATCTAATCCCATGGTTATGTGAATTTTAGGCTAAAAATCGTCCAACCAAACATTTTCCATTCGTAAGCGCTATCCATCCATATTCTTTCTTCGGATGGGTTAAATGTGTGGTTGATGGATGTGGTTGGGTTATGGATTAACTCAAAAAAATAATTATCAGATTATTTATTAGACAAGTTGACTAGTCATTGCACGTAGGATAAAATCCAAACTAGTTTAGGTGGGATAATGAGATTTGTTGCTACGGCTGATAATTGGTTCGGTTCGGTTATAACTGGAATCGTTTAGTCGGTTATTGATTAATCGTTAAGCACTTTGTGTTTACCGTTAATCGCACCATTTAAATTAGTCGGTTAACCATAACCTTATAGTCGGTTCTCAGTTATTTTTTCGGTTAACCGGATAACTGTTAATCAAGTGATTCGGCAATGTTATACCAAAATAACCGATTGATAACCTAACCACCTAAACACCTCCATTTTTCAATAGTGACATTTTCTATATTTTTTCATACATAGGCATGTGTTTTTTTCTTTAGTTGTTATCATTGAATAAAAAATAATTTAGGACTTTGCTACGTGACATGCATGTCACGGTAACTTGCACTTTTAGGTCGACCTCATATAGGATTAGGTCGACCTAATCTGCACTTTTAGGTCGACCTTATATAGCATTAGGTCGACCTAATCTGCACTTTTAGGTCGACCTAATATGTCGTTTCAGTTTTGTGAGGCTCAACGACGCGGTTGACCTTTTATAACAAATGGTCGACCTCTTTGGAAAGTGAACAGAATGAAAGTTCAACCCAAATACCTCATAGGGCGACCATTTTGATTAACTAAGGTCGACCGCGTGCACACCGTAACCGTATTGGATAAGCATTCCAACACCAGAAAGGTAACCCTAACTTATCTACCACTTAATTCGACTCATTCTCGTCCTAAATATCTATAAATACGAATATATGTCACCTTCACCGCCACCAAAACTCTGAATTAGGTTTTTTTTACGGTTAGAGCTTTTGTGAAGAAGATCCTTTGCGGTTTCTGTTGTACGTGATTGAAGAGGTCGACCACGTGGGAGTTATGAGTCCTTATTATCATTATTTATGACTGATTCTGTTGGTTTGAAACGTAATTTGTACGAGCAAAAGAACCACCCACATCGACATACATAAGCAAAAAAGACGCATGGCAGAGGTTGATTTCTTGTATTCGGTCGACCTCGTACCGGATTAGGTCGACCACGAAACCAACACTTGATCTTCATTTTACGTCAAATGATGATGGATAAATGTATACAACACTTCTCTTCTATCTGGTCGACATCTTTCTGTAAATGGTCGACCATTTTGTTAATGACCGCCATCAAGTGGTCGACCTATATACCTTTACGGTCGACCATTTTGCTTCTGACGCGAATGAAAAGGGAGACCGATGTTTTATTGTGGTCGACCAACAATGACAACTTAAACTACAAACGGTCGACCACTACATTTTAAAGGTCGACCGTGATGAGTCATCAGGGTGCCCACATTAGTGTATTCGGGAACCTCACAAAACTGAAACAGCATATTAGGTCAACCTAATCCTATATGAGGTTGGCCTAAAAGTGCATATTAGGTCTACCTAATCCTATATGAGGTCGACCTAAAAGTGCAAGTTACGGTGACATGCATGTCACCATAGGCATACCCAATAATTTAACATAGATATATATCAATACATAATCAAGTCAATCTCAACCATGGTTGTCGTGCCGGTGGCATGCCACCCGGTTGAACCTGGTTCAACCTGTGCCGGTCATGAAACCGGCATGACACCACCGGTATGACCGGTATGATCGACTTACGCATTCTAAGTAAAATGACATCATTTTAATGAACTTAATACAATAATACCATTCTACCGTCAAACTTTATTAAAGAAGCATACGACGATAAGAGACCAAGCAACAATTACTCAACTCATAAACCCCACAAAATTACATGGAAGTTTAATGTTACTGATTGTTGTCGAGCAACTGTGCGCAATTCTAACTTTCTAGTGTGCTCATTATAAAACTCTTCCTTTAAATTATTCTTATTTGAGTCCAAGTCACTATTACAACTAGGATAGGCAATGGATCTTGTAAGCCTTCAAACACTCCATTATTTTTGGCCTATGTTTGCGGCTCATGTAGGTAGGTCTATTATTTTCGACCCTAACTATGAGGATGATCGTAATTAGTTAGTCGGTTAACCGTGTAACCATTGGTTAGTTATTAGCTAAATTTTGCTAGCAAAAATTGACCGTTTGCTATTTAATCGGTTATCGGGGTAACCGTTAAGCACCGGTTCTTGTTTGGTTTTAGGTTACCCCATAACGAGATAACTTTACTAGCCCTTTGTTACCATACCTATTGAAAGATTGACAGCAAGTCTTGGGCCTGGACATCTTAGCTATTGATCCATTATCATTCATTCGTAATTGAAATTATTGTTCGGATTCCCACCAAAAAAGAAAAAGAAAAAGAAATTGGGTTAATTACAAGGTTGGTCACTGAGATTATTAAAAAGGTTCATGTTTGGTCACTACAAATACTTAATTTCGTTCGCGGTCACCAAAATTAGTTAAACACTTCAAGTTTGGTCACTCTCCGTCCAACTCCGTTAACTTTATTTGACGTGGCAGTCAACTTTCATAGTTGACCGTTAAATTGTGATGTGGCAATCAAAAAATAATAAAAAATTATATTGAACCTTTTAAAATTTACACCTCATTTCTGCAACAATTAGAAAAAAAATAAAACTTAATTTCTTACAATTAATCCCTAAACAAAGTGTGGGAGCACGATAAAAAAGAAACCGGTCCCCTAAGCAATCAATCGTCCACAATGGATGCATCGCGACTTGCCCATCCCCATATTCTTCACCATCTCATCTTCTGCGAATCGCCATTTGAAAAATCTTGCCCTGTATCTTACAGCCGCTTCTTTGACTTCTTCTGTGTCGTACGCGGAAAGGACAATCGTTGTCCGCCGACGCCCTCGAGTGGACGAGGAGCACTTATCTCAACTTTCGTCGACCTCGAGGTTAGAGAATTTGAAACGGCGCAAATCCGATTCCGCCTGCTGGCTGCAACAACCAGCAGCTGTGGTCATCGATTCGATGCCATGATTAGCAAGCAACAAGTTGCCGCATCCGTTGCGTTGGACACGGTCAGCGGGGCTTGTGGCTACGGCAACCTGGGTTGGGATGGGTACGGGATGGCCACAGTCGGGCTCAGCAAGTCACTGTTCAAGTGCGGCTAGATCTGCAGCGTATCGAGCTCCCATGGCGGACGAAGCAGCAATTAGATATTGCGTCGTCGTCGTCGCCGTCGCCCACGGTGACCGCAAGTAGTACTAAGGCTGTTGATGTTTGTAATTCAATTGCTGGTGGTGGAATTGATGATGCGCCGCCAGTGGTGGATGGGACAGTCTCATGGCCTGAGGAAGGGATTTGGAGAGCGATTGAGGTGGCTAGGGTTTGGGTGTTTAGGGAGTTATAAGAAATTAAATATTATTTTTAAAAAGTTATAAAACTGAGGTGGAAATTTTAATATAATAAATTTTATTTTTTATTATTTTTAAATTGCCATGTCACACATTTGACGGTCAACTATGAGAGGTTGACTGCCACATCAGACAAAGTTAACGGAGTTGGACGGAGAGTGACCAAACTTGAAGTGTTTAACTAATTTTAGTGACCGCGAATGGAATTAAATATTTGTAGTGACCAAACATGAACATTTTTAGTAATCTCAGTGACCACCCTTACAATTAACCCAAAAGAAATTATTGTTCGGAATGGGAGCAAGAGTATAGTGTTTCAGCTGGTTAGTGGGCAATCAGATCCAATCCCAATAAACACGGGCCTCAGGTGATGATGACCCGAGAAAAAGGTTTGGGCTCTAAGCCTATCAAATTGGTGGTGTTTTGTCTTCCAGTCAAAATATAAAACCAAGTTTGCACCTTGGCCCATTTTCTTAGTAGAAGGCTAGAAGCTATGTTCTTCTGTTGCTCCTAATACTAGGAAGTAAGAAAATTCAATCAGAACTGAAATTATCAAATATTTTGTCATGCTTCAAATCTCATTTGTCTGTGATGTATTAAAAATGTGTTTTGTGCAGAGAAAGTGTAGTATTATATGATACCAGAAATCGAGTCCTCAATAGCATAGTTAGTAAAATATGGTATGGGAAAGTTACGTGAAAAATACGTACGGGTATTTTACATCATTTTTAAGTTAAAAAAAGGTTAAAAGTACGTTAATAGTCATAAAAACATAAAAATTAATTATTTTAAATATAAATAAATATATAAATAGTAGTAAAGTTACAATTTAATTCATTAAATACAGATATTAAACGTGTTATATGGGTTTTATACGTGTTTAGTACGGGAGCTATCTAATGAACGCGAAAAAATGGAACGGCTTGATAATATTACGGATACGAAAGTTTTAAACGAATAAAATACGTATGGATACATATGCGTGTATTAAACGGAGTATTTACTAATTATGCTCAGTACGGCGTTGAAAATTAAGGCCGTCATAGTATATGATTGTTTGATTGACGAATGACACCCAAATCTACTCATGATTTTGGGAGTTACACTGTAAATTAGATTTGTCACTGAACGAGAGGAAATGGAAAACAAATATCAAATCCGTTATTGTTAACATCCCTGCCCGATTCTGCCCTTTTGATTTATGAGATTCCGCTAATTAGCATGTGGAGGTAATAAATGCACTATGCCAATGATCATAACTTGATTGATGAAATTATCCGACAAATTCCTCTAATGATACGTGCTATTATTGTAAGTGGGAAAAGGGAAAGAAGGTAATGGGTGGTTTGAATGTAGTATTTGAGTATGGGAAACATGATTAAGGATTGGTTCATGTTTTTTTTTCCCAACTATATCCTCATTTCTTTTTTAAATCCAAAACTACACCTGTTTACAGTTTATCCATAAAAAAATTAGCTTGTACCACATCGATTAATTACAAGGGATTAAAGGATTTATAAGGTCAGCTCAACATTAATGATTAAAAGAGCCAGCTGGGCCTAGTTGGGTTAGATTTTTGGGCCTAAGTGGCCAAACCCCTTCTCCTCTATACGATGGTCGACCCCTCTCTGAGGCCCCCATAGTCGGACGATGCTTCCACCACTTAGTATGAAATTTAGCCTACAAAAACTAAATCTTGGAAACAAGACGACACAACGGGGTGCCAACGACCGGGTACCAAGCCTGGTACCAAATAAGGGAGCCAAACAAGAGGTTATCAAGACGACAAGGCAGGCCTGATACCCAAGTAAGAAATTTGGCTAAGTATGGAAAACAAGGCGACACAACGGGGTGCCAAATGGCGGGTACCAAGCCGGATACCAAATAGGAGGCCATCCAAAGGTTAAGTATGGGAAACAAGGCGACACAACGGGGTACCAAGCCGGGTACCAAATAGGAGGTCATCCAAAAGCTATGACACAACAGGGTGCCAAATGACCGGATGTCAACGACGGGGTATCAAGCCGGCAAAGCAGGGCTTGGTAATTTGACATATAATTCGGCTAAGTATGGGAAACAAGGCGACACAACGGGGTGCCAAATGACCGGGTACCAAATAGGAGGCCATCCAAAAGCTATGACACAACAGGGTGCTAAATGACCGGATTTCAACGACGGGGTATCAAGCCGGCAAAGCAGGCTTGGTACTTTGACATATAATTCGGCTAAGTATGAAGCAAAAGGGGTATCAAGCCGACAAGGTAGGCTTGATACCAAAAGATATAAAAATTGGCTAAGTATGGAGCTAAGGGGGTACCAGGCGGGCAAGGCGACCTCGGTACCAATATCCCTACAAGGTACCAAGCCGGCATGACAGGCTTGGCAGCCAAGCAAGGCGACAGGGTACCATGACCCCAAGGGGGTATCAAGCCAGCAAGACTGACTTGGTGGCCAGGCAACAGGGGGCCAAGCCAAGTACCAACTAAGAGAGTCATACAGAAACTAAGTTTAGATATCAAGCCAACAAGACAGACTTGATAGCCAGACATTAGGGTATCAAGCCAATAAGACAAGAAATTCGACTAAGGCATGGTGACTAGCTGAGGTGGCCACCCAACTATGGATGGATCGACCAGGATGCCGAGCTCAGCCCTTATGAGGCCATATGGAGACAAAGTCCAAAGACGGGCTTGGTAGCACCTTCACGGGGTACCAAACCGGTAGGGTGCAACTTACCAACTTGACGAGGCTACAAAAACTAAGTATGGAGACTAAGCCACCAGGGCTGGCTTGGTAGCAAGGGTTGTCAAGTTGATTACATGGGCTTGGTGGCATGCCAGAAGGTATCAACCCGATGAGACGACTTGGTAACAACCAATAAGTTAATGAGGAGGACTTGGTGTCATGAGGTGGTAGCGTTCTCAGGACCAGGGAGTCATCAAGCAGTCGAGGGTGAGATCAAGACCTCATCATGGTTCATGGAGGCTAAGGCAAGAGCCTCAACCCCATCCAGTCATGACAGGGCGACAAGGCTCAACACCACCACAACCCTGCATCGAGGCCATCAAGTACCCACCAGCCCCAAGACGGGACAAGGGCCCCCAAGGCGACGGTTACCAACTAGTCACCAAGGCGGGACAAGGGAACCCGAGGCGGTTTGGAGCAAGAGGACAGCTAGCAGTTACTACGGCGGTTACCAAGACAGTTACACCCGGTGGCTATAAATAGGAGAAACGAAGACGGGGAAAGGGTTCCACAATCAAACATTTGACGCACAATGTCAAACTTTATCCTTTTCTCTGCAAATTAGCCATAGTTTTAGTTTTTGGAGCTCTCACTGAACCTCCATAAGAGTAGAGTAACGTAACCTAGCTTGTTCCCAAAAAACCATCAAAAACATCAAACACCCTCGTTCGAACATTGTTCGGAGAGGAGTGAACCGTATAATTATCGTTGTTCAAGAAGTCAAAAGTGCATTCATTGTGTTCAAACACAAGTTTTTCCTCGCCGGAAAACAACACCTCATCATTTTTGTCCCAATTTTTGTCTTTCATTCTCCAATTTTCCTCGTAACCATTATTTGGTTGTCCTTTCTTACCTCAATTGTGTCTAATACTAACAAAGACTTAATAGTTAAGACTTAATAGTTAAGGTGTCTTGACACATTATTATCTTAAAACGAAGTATAAAACTTTGTACATGTTAATACTGCCACATATGCATGTTGACCAAACATGCAAACGGGCTTTTCAAGTTAGAAAAACTGGTGGGTTAAAGACAAATTGGCAAAATAATAAGTTTGACAAATACCACATCCAATCCCGTAAAATTTTACTAAACAGTTGCTAATTGCTACAAATTTTGATCCCTGAACTCTAATGTCCACAGGAATACAGTATATCGACAAGAACAGTAAGGCTAAGAAGACACATAAATGGACATTAGTTACCATTTTTCCTTTTAGCACTGCATGAGCAAGGAAGGTAATTAAAAAAAGATAATGATAATGGAGACAGCTGATAAAAACTGAAGCTTCTTTGGCCTGTTTGAAGTCTCAGTGGATGTGACATGTGAGCGACCATAACTGAGTTGTGGAGGCAAGGATTCTGACTTACTCCTCTGACTGGTCATCAATTACCTCAAACCGCGACAATTGCCTTGCCAGGTTATTCACACTACAGTCCAAACCCCCCTCAAAACCTGAGCCATTTTTCTATATAATATTGTCTGCTCCGTAACCCATTATTCAAACCGGGTTGATAACCATAACCGGTCAAATAACCCGATTCTTATGCTCACACCCATTCCATGAGAACCATACCAATAGGAGCACGGAGTCGTTCGATCGCATTTGAGCATACGGCATATCATAACTGTTGTGTTCGGTGACAATATTGTAAATAAATTATCATCTACTCTATTCGACCTAGACGAAACACCAACGCATTCGCTTATGTTCGAAACTAAGCTAGAGTCGTGCGCATAAGTGTACCAGATTATACAACCTAAGCCTATCACGTAGCAACATGTTCTCACGTAATAACTCAAGTGCGTTATCAAAATTGACCCATCACGACCGGTCCAATACCCACAAGTTCAAACCTAAGAGAAACAGAGGAGCTTACACAAGATCATCAAGGAATAACGACAAATAAACAGAGGAGTTACAATATTAAAAAAAAAAACAAAAAGACGAATCTAACATAGAGGAGGCGCAAAGCGTGGGCTTGGATGGCCGAGACACAAGAACCCACGCCTTTGCTTAAAAAAGGCCGAAAACAAAAGGAAGCTTACCCATACCGCTTCTTTCTCTTCTTTCATGCTTATATCCACAGTACAGCTACCAAGAACAAGAAAGGAGAAAAAAAAGGGAAAACGAATCTGATGACGAATTAATCACCACGACGGAGAAGTTGAACTAGAGGATGAGGAAGACAGCAGCCCGTTGTTACTATTGGAATCGGTACTCCCCGAAACAGTAACAGCGTCCCTCGGCGAAACCGACGTCGCTTCCGTCGGCAGCTTCTTCATCGGCTGCAGCGGGGGAGTGGAACTACCCACGGGAGGACTGGCCGTCGCCTTAGTCGTCGTCATCTCCTCATCGCTGCTGCTCGAAACGTCGCCACCGCTCGAAACGTCGCCGCCGCTATCCAGCCGAGACGGCGATGAGTCCGGGGTCTCGAACGGGGTGTCGTCCCTGCCGCTGGCGCCGTGATGATCCGCACCTTTGTTGTTGTCGTAGATGGGATTGGATATGTAAATGAAATGCTCGGCAGTGCTATGGGAGTCCTTCTATGCAGGGGAGGTCTGATTATTGTGATGGTGAGGAGGAGGAACGACGGCGGAGATTTCTCGGATTTTTTGAGGGGAAGAGGCGTAGGAAGCCGGCGGGGGAGGAGTGCGGACGAGCCCGATCTGCTGCGGGCTGGCAGCGGCTGTGGACAAATCATCTTAGAGCTCGAGGACATGGTGGAGCTGGCGCGAGAATCATTGTGGTGGCTGTTGCGGCGGCTGTTGATGAGTCGCTTGGCTTCTTTGGCTGCGGGGAAGAGGAAGCTTCTGGGAGCTTGGAGGACTCTGAGAGGAGGAGGGGAAGGAGAAGAGTGGCGGTAGTTGTGGAGGAGGTTGGAAGGAGGGGAGGAGGGAATGGTGGTGATGGGTGTGATGGTGTCAGGGGAGGAAACCACCGCCAGCTGCTGGCGGTGCTGACGGCGGCGGAGAATGAGGTTGCAGTAGAGCTCGGCTAGGAGGATGAGAACTAGGGTGAGTACGAAGCCTAGGCCGACCACCATCACCACCGTGGCTCCCATTATCACCTTGGAAGCTCCCTTCATTTCTCTCTCACTTTCTCTCTCTCTAGGTTTGGCGGGCTACTTTAGGAGGAGACAGGGGAAGCAGGGGAAGAAAGTGTGCAGTAAAAAAAAGGGAAGAGGGGAGTGCAGTAAGAAAAGGGAAATGGAGGGAGGGAGGGCAGATTTTGGCGGGAAAGAACAATCATTTACCTTTGACAAGGGAAAGTAAATGTGGGAGATTGTAAAACATAGGAGGAGGGAATCTTTTCTAAAGCATGGGGAATGTAAAGGCGGTAAAAAAAAAGTAAAAAGAGGGAAAGGACTTGGTTATTCTGAGAGAGATTTCTGAGTTCTGACCTCGGTGGGTCTCTCTCATCCGCTGACTTTAGGAGGTCATTTTCGTCATTTTCACCGCTCATCGTCGGGACACATCATCACCTGTGGGAATAAGAAAATAAGATGGCAAACCTTAACGTCCAGTCAAAGTTAGGTTAGTAACAAACGTTTGTCGGCTTTTCTGCACTCCTCTCCGACAGTCTGTTAGTTGATAATGGGCTTAAAAAAGAGAAACAGAAAACAATGTTATTCGCACACAATTTCTTCTTCTTTTAATATTGTATCAGTCGAAAGCAACTCCTAAAGGTAGTCACATCCAGATCCAGTCACACGGACTAAAAGGAAATTGAATGGAAGTACAAATCTATGATGCAGATGAAGCAATGGCTCCACGCAGTGGGGGCGAAACAATGGTAATAATGGTGGTGCTGTCGTCGTTCGTCCTTCCTAGCTATGGTGGGGGAGATAGCGGAAATCGCAGTGTATATTGTATAACATTTAAACGACAGGAGACCGAATGGTGGTGGGAAAGAGTGGAAAAAAATGCAACGAGAGAGGGACCAGATCAATGCTCATTTTCTAATTGAAGACGGTTAAAAATGTGAGGAATTTTCACATCCGGTAATTTTGGGTGGACGTGTCAAGCCGCGGCTGACCGGTCCGGCTCGAGGGTAGCAGCACTAGTGAACACCTTGTTCCCCTGGGGTGGAGGAGCCAGTGTTGATGGTTGTTCGCTGGGGAGAGAAAACGATCGGGATGGATGAGAAGCAACCGAATCATCACCATGTGTTGCTGCTTCTGTGATCGGATCACGGGAATGATGACGACTGCTACTCCTCGACGACTTCCTTCGAACCTTCTTCCCAGGCTCGGGCTCATAAGCAGTCAATTTCTTGCTGTAGTGTATCAGCAGCTTGTCGATTATCATTTCCTCCTCGTCGTTCTTATGATGCTCGTCGTCGAACACGATCTGCAGGCCTCGCCTCGAGTCATCCTTTCTTGTCCTGCTTCTTGACTTCCTCTTCACAACTCCCACGGTGCTCTCCATGGCACCGACATCGTCGTGGTGACTAGTTTGTGACTTCTGATGTCGTCTCCTCGTAGAAGACCGTGGTTTCGGTATGGGGTTCACAACAGTCTCGCCTTGATAGTACACCTTGGTGTCGAAGACATGCTCACCTGCACCCCTTGCTGGTCCTGGATCATTGTTCTCCGAACGATAGCCATGATTGTTACTTTGTCATGCATTGGATGTATCGACTGCGTCGGTGTCTGAAACCGTACTGGGAGATGCTACATTGACAGCAGATTTGTTATCCCTCGCCTTAGTGTTGGGTCTGGTGTAAGGAGGTGGGATGGCCTTGTTGGAGAAAGATTTTAACTTCTGTACTTCATCTTCCTGTGCATCTCTAGTAGTTTTTGCTGCAGGGTGTTGACCAGCAGATGCTTTAACAGTCAGAGGATCTTGGCTGTTGACCTTCGACCACACTACGGTATAGCTAGGAATAGGTTCTGGCTTTCCGTAAGTCTTAGCATCCACGCCCTTTGATATGGGAGGAGTCTTACTCGGCATGTCATCAATTCTTGCACGTTGTGTCCTCTGAGAAGAACTGCCCAAACCCACTGTTTTATGAGGAGTAGCCTGCTTAGGAAGTTCATGCTTCTTTACCACAGGGACTTCTGGCCTTGCTGGAGGAGACGAGTCATATTTCGTCATCCTCAAAGTAGTTTCTTTTTGTCCTCCGTTCTGCAGTTTGTTGGCGATGATAGGAACTTCATTCCTTTGTTGTGGAGGATTCGGGTTATCTCTTTTCCAGCCGGCTTTCTCTTCTTTGATTAGCCCAAACCCATGGTTACCATTCTGTTCTTTCCTTGCTTTGGATAGGATCTGCTGTTTAACCCCTTGGATGATGTTGTCCTTGCCATTAGTCAAGTCCGACTTACCGGTGCTAGGAAGTGAAGGACTGTGAGTTCTAAGTTTGGCCTGCAAAACATGTTGACAAGGAGGTGGAGCATTCATAAAGAGAATTGAGTTAGCAATTTCTGAAAAGTTCTCGCAACTTTCTCACAGCCAGAGAGAGGTCAGAATAGAAACTAAATTGAGGGCTAAACCTTGACAGGAGAAGGTCTAGATACTCTCTGTTCAAAACCCGTGGAGTCCCACCTTATGGAGAACTCTGATGCAACATCTCGCAATAGTTGAACTTTCTTCTCCATCGTTACAGGTTTGGCAGACATATTGTCAACAAACTATCAACCATGAGTGTAGAAATGTTAGTCCTCGAGAGATGAGACAAAATGCAAGTGTTATTCCACAATGCCAGCGATCTGTTTCAAGTATTACCCCTTGATTCACATACAGTTCCAAGGAATCACCATATCTCTCGAGAAAAAGCTGCCTTAGGTCTCGTAGTTCTGGTAGATCGGAGAATCTTGCAGCTGCAGACATTAAGGAAGACACAGCTTCCCTGCAATCCTCGGCACAATGTCTGCCATGGGCCACAAATGAAAGACATATTCCAACGTAACATTAACAAAGTGATAACAACTAAAACCCCACTTCTCATATGAATGAGTCACCAGTAGTCACACGCTGCACACGTGAGAGCTCCTTCTCCTTACAGCTAATGGACAGAATGGTTGCAATCGGCATGCAATCAACAAACAAACACAGCATTGGCATGCACAAATGTAATTCAGTTGAGAAGCACTACTTTTCTATTCCTAGTGATCTTGCATGGTGAAGAAAGCAGCACACAAAATCGGGCCACATTATGTACCACAGTCACGCAACCGTACTCTTGTACTGGGGAATGCAAAGACGCGGACAAAAATCATTTCCAGTGTAAAGTGTTTGAGAGCTGTGAACCAGAAACTCATACCTCATCTTTTGCAAGACGGACAGATGCTTCAGCACAAGATCACAACAACGCTCAACAAAATCATAGCACGAAGATAAGATCAATTCTCCAACAAGTCCTTCAGCCTGTTCATTTACAACCATCACAAACAAAGACATCACCAGGCATTGAACCACAACAGAACAAGCAATAGCACTGAAAATGGAAGCACAGAAACAAGGAGAAGATTCAACATCAGTGATGTTAAAATTAGAAATGAGAGAGAGAGAGAGAGAGAGAGAGAGAGAGAGAGCAAAAAGGACAAGCTAAGCATTTAGACAATTAAAATCCTCTCAGCGAATTTGCTCCACGAGAAAGAGACAAATCAGAGCTCGAAACTATCATTGTTTATCGCCGAAGTACTAGTAAATTGAGTAATTATTCACTGGACGGTGACTGCCGTCGATCAAACAGGGATCTCAAATTCGAGTTTACTGTTCATCGCTTTGGTAGCATAAGAAATTTTCAGAACCTTAAGCCTAAAGCAGAGTAGAAATCGAGCTCGACAAGCAATCAGATCAATCGACACGCAGAAACTTCAATTGAGAATAGGAAACAAATTATGAGTTGATGTCGAGTCCGTTGGCCAGCAGATCAACCACGTCTTTTTCCAGAAATTTCAGAGTCGCGCTCCTCTTCCTTCGAATCACATCGATCCGGCTCTTCGTCAGTTTTATCAGCGATTTGCTGTAAACAGAGAAGCAATCAATCCGGAGAATCAGAAAATCAACACCGGAGCCTCTTTACACCAACCGACACTAAAGAAAAAAACGCCATACCATTTCGCATCAAAGCCTCGACCTAGCAGTCCGTCCAGCATTTCTTCCCGAGTTCACTTACTTCTATACTCTTATTTCCTTTCTTGACCTCCAGCTGCGGATACCGGTTACGGCTTCACTGCCAGAAACCAAGGCTATGGAAAGAGAGACAGAGAACACCTAGTCAGCCATTAATGAAGCTTTTAGTGTTAGGGAGTGGAGCAGTAATGAGCGGGGATTAAAGAGGAGGACGGAGGAGAAGAGAAGACTCGGAAAGAATTCGATTAACAAATGGAAAAGAGAACCCAATAGCTCCTCTCTCTGCCTGTCTGTCGCTATCTTGTGGCAAGTAGTCGTTTTCTAGGCACTTTTTCAAATCTCCTCCTCGACTCGTCTCACTGGTGAGTCAAGCGGCTGACTCAGAGTCAGTGTTTCTCCAACCGAGGTCCCCTTTTTCACGCTGGGTTCATTTTGAGATGAAATGACGGGAATGGGCTTGAAGTGGTAGAGCAACGGAAGAAATACCGAGGGGGCAAATTGGGGAAAGGAGGGAGAAGCGAGAATCGTGTAGAGGAACAGGCGGCGGGGGATTGGGTGGGCACGTTTGATCGTGGCCGCCCGATGGTGTGACAAAGTTTGGGTTAGTTAATTAGAACGTGCCAGTGGACGGTGGGAGATTAATGTAATGATATGGGAAGGGAATCTGTGGTGCTGAGCTGGATCGCATTTTGTCAGGTGGATTTGACGGAAAAATGACCTTAACCAACTCCCTGTTGAAAAGGATGATCAGATAATCATCACGTTACTTCTTTTATCGTAATCGTTCGTCTCTAATAGATTTCCATATGAATTAGGATTTTTTTTATATATAAATGGGTTCGGGTCATCTAACTTTCATTCATTATCATATGGGCTCAGAATCCCCTCAATATCATACAGGATCCAATACATCAAAGTGGGGTTACTAATAGGAAAGGAATGAACACCCAGCGACAAATAATGACCCTGATTAGCAAGGTAGTCGGCACACTTGTTACCCTCCCTATAAACATGATAAAAGGCGACCCTGAATTAGGATATATTAATGGCGGAGCCAATTAACTTTTCTAGTGGATTGGCATACCATCTCCAACATTTTTTTTTCATTTTGAGGAGTCATGTTTTCGGATCACTTGAAGTGAGATTGAGGAATGGACTGTAGTCATCAAATGATATGATGTTAAATTCTCGTTACAAATTAAGGTGCACACATCAAAATGACATGAAGAAAGTAAGTGTCATGTCCATCACAATCTTAAGAGGCCTATACATGATCTCCTAACGTTCTTTTGTTTTGTCATGTACAAATCATCCAACAAATGATCATTATTTTGGAAAGAAAAGTAGCTTCATACACAATGATTTCATATTTGAAAAGAAATATAAGACAATTTCTTTGACGAGAAGAACATGTATAGTACACCATTACCTCTCAAACATT